CTCTGTATTTAGCCTCTCGAGACCTGCCACATCATCAAGCTGAAAGCCAAGCTCATTGGCGGAGAAAACTGGCTGTTTTTACCTGAGCGCGCGTGCCTTTGGGTCGTGGCTGACCTCTGAACTGACTTCCTCCAAGGTCTCGGCTGGCGTTCCCAGTGGGTTCGTTTGCATGTGATGTTGTTGACCTTGGAGAGTTGGGTGGCGATGTGTTTGTGTTTACGCCGCTCCGCACTGAAAGGAAGAGCGTGACTGAATCTCTTCTGGTGAGCGTCACCCGCGTGGGCTGGTCTCTTCAGCTCCTTGATCGGTGGGTATTTTTGTGTGGACTGATTCTGATTAAGTGGCAGGTGAATAGAGGCCCGGTGAATCGTGGGCGACACGTCACTGAACTACGTATCGGGTGATCATTGCAAATAGATTCCAGGTTGTGAAACCCGCGCGGCTCTAAGAGGGTGTCCTAGGTATTCTGATAACACGTTGCAGTCTTCGCCGGCCGTCCTAACCCATCAAAACATTGACCTCCTGTGCAACTCGTCTTGTCCGACTTGTCATTTCCCAGTATTTTTTAGTGTCTCGTACTCAGGTATTTCCAAGCAGCTGCAAGCAGCAGCGATAACCAAGGGAGCCCTCGACCTTCCTGACATCACGCGGCTCTGAGCCCGGCTCCCACCTGCCTCAGCTGGGTGCGGGCGGGCGGCAGCGGCAGGGGCGCGGCGCCCGGGCGTGCCGGCGCCCTCCCCCACGCCGCAGTGACGTCACCAGGGTCATTGGCACCTGTCGTGGGGCGCCCGAGGAGGGCAGAGGTGGGGAGGTGAGGGGAGAGGAGAGGGAGGGTTTGGCCCCAGTGTGCGCTCGAACTGGACATGTTTTTGTGTTGTTGATTGTTGTACCGGGTTTTTGTGTTGTAGTAGTTTCGAGTAACAATGGCGCTGTCGAGTCGCATGCTGCCCTGTGTTAGCTTTGCTCAGTGTTCTGCTTGTTCTTTTTGTTGGTTCACTTGTGTTATGTTTCCTGATTATTTTTGCCGTGTTGGCGTCTTGCCCCTGGTCTAACTTGAAAATTGAGGACATATGGGCTAGAACCAATCCTAGAACTTCCTAGCTCTTCTGACTCACCGTGATGAACTTGTGGACGATACGTAGAAGCTCGTTGGACAGAATGTAAACCGACGGCTGTCGGTTTACCCAGGTAGTTAGCTAGTTTGATAACAGTGGCTCGCCTCTGTGGCTTACGGTAGGTGTTTGGGGACTTGTGTCAGTGTTTGTGGGAGGATCAACTGCGCAGCGGGAGTTAGGGTCGGTTTGACGGGGTAGAAGTGCCGAGTGTGGTTGAGTTGGGTGGGACAGAATAGGAAGAAAGAGAGGAGTGGAGAAAATGAGGGAGGAATCGAATGATAGAAAAAAGAAATCAATCGCCAGCAAATATTACACCGCAAACCAGCCAACGTAATCTTATATATCACTTGTATTGGCCAGTGGTCAGGCTGTCGCTCATCTTGTCTGCTCGTGAGTTTACCTCGCCAAAGAGCTCAGTTACCTGGTTATAGACACCGCACCAGCAGCGTTACCTCCGGTTGTTACCTGTCTCACCACATGCATTCCGCCGAGTTCCCTGAAGACTGGCCGCTGACCGTTCCCCGTTTTCGCCGCTCCGCCCCGGGGGCCGTCTGGCGTCCACAGACTGGCAGTGTGTGGGACCGGAAGTGTCCGTTTCCGGCGCCAGTGTGAGGCTCTGCTACAGGGGGCTGTTCCATGCAGCGGGAAATAGTGTGTGGTGGTCGTGGTGGTGAAGTCAGGAGGACGGGCTCTTAGGTGTTCCAAAGGGGCGGCCGGCCATCTGCAGTGCACTGGTTTTGAGTGCTCAAAAGTAAGTATGGTGGTTACGAGCTTCTAAAAGAATATCCTGAAGTCCCGCAGCCCGCAGGTTCTAGAGAGTTTCGACGCGAAGAAAGGAGCGTCCAGTTGGTTGGAATGAATGCTGGAAAGGGGAGGAGAGGGGCCACTTTGGAGACTGTTTGCGAAATTGGGTCAAATGGGACCGCGTGGCTCGGACATGAACAGTTGCATGGGACAAATTGGATAGCCGCTGTTGTGTAACGAAATGGCGATGTCATTTGGTCTGGGCAAAATACCGTGAGTGGGTCGGGAACGATGACCATCAAGTGTTGTAAAACAATCCCATGGAGGTCTTCTAGGCTATCGGAAACCGTAAACAGCGAACATGGCGGGCTTCCATAGACCGCTGCTAGGCAATGAAAGTAATTTCTTGGGTGAGGCTCAATACTCGTGACATATTATCATCATGTGCCTATACTAATTAGTCTTTTCAGAGGGCTGTTTTGCTTTGACTATGCATAGTCGTGTCGAATCAGAGCCCCTGTGGCTAGCTAATCTGTTTCTGCGGTAGGTAAGCTAATCCGATTCAAAACAGCAACGAAGGCGCTGCAAGCCGGTCCTAGACGAGCCGGCTATTGTTTTTTAGACAAGCTCAGGCGGTCTAAAGAAGGACCGCAGAATGCGCCCTAAGACTGCGAAAACAGCTCAGAGAGCCCGATTCGGTACGGGGATGAAGCAAGACTGATGGCCTCGGGAAGTCTGACAGTAATCCGCTGAGGAGTTTTGTCGGTCGAAAGCGAAACGGCGGGATACACATCGGTGGCATGGCATCTGCATAAGTTGCCGGCGCAAAGCTGTTTGGGGAGGATAAAATATAGATGCACTGCGTGCTTGCAACGTGGGGCTTTTAATCGATGGTGTTACGGGACTGGTAACCAAGGTTAGTTTCGTCATTAACGTTTGTTCGATGAAGATATAAGCAGCTTTCTAGCAGTGTTGCCGGTTTAATGTCTGGGAGTCCTTGGTGGCTTGGACAGTTCGTGATTGGTGGTAGAACTTTGGTGGCACGCAATGCACACATTGAGATCTGCGTGGGCTGTTCGGATTTTGAGGAAATTTTGGATCGGTCGGTAAGGGGCAGTGGTTCGACAGAAGTAAACCTTGCCAGATTTAGCGGCTTCTGCTTAAATGCGAATCGCTTTGAAATGACCTCATAATGTTGCGACTTTTGAAGTTGAGACGTATCTTCAGAGGATGAGCATTCAGCTTATGGTCGAGCCTGTAGCTTTAGCTTATAGCGTTGCTGAACCGCTGCAGGCTTCATCATTCGATATGCGTCGCCTCAATCAGCCAGCTGTGATCGCGCCATTCAAGGCTGCCACGCCCCTGCTTCACCAGATCACCACACCTCGCCGTTGGTGACTGTCGATGGTGACTGCCAGCTGTCACCACCCCGGAACGGCACGTATCGGCGTCGTTCCGCCCCGTGGCCCCGTGACGCTCTGCCCCGCTCCGTGACGCGTGGCGTGCCGTGACGTGGCGTGACCCGTCCCGGTGGTGTGGGCGGGGCACCGCGGACCATCGGCTGTCCCTAATGACCGGTGACTCATGGCTCTCCCAGCCCCTCATCCGCCCGGACCTGACCTGTCAACGGCTAGATCTGTCAGCGATCAATGTAAACGGAGTGAGGTTCAAAGCGGCCATCGTTTGGGCCTTGCCGCCATTGCCTTGGGAGTTTCCATTTGACTCATGGAGCCCTTCGTTTTGGATGGCGAGAGATACAACGACAAGCGACTTAGCTGGAACTGTATTTTTTATTTCTTGATGAATGATGCCACGCACATTGGTAGAAGCTTGTACTCAAGTCCATGCGTTTGCGTGCCTGCTGACGCATCAACTCACCGCAAGTGCTAGAGTGAAACGCTTTGACCCGTAGAAACTATTGACACGGAAGGAAATCGGCATGGTCTCTCTCCGCCATTCTGAACATTCCTGCCTCTGAATGGAGACCTCATGACAATACCTCGGATGATCCTCCATTCTCCTCCGTCTCGTGAGCTGCTGCGTCGGCATCTTCCAATGCGGCATTTGTTTTCTCTTCGCTTCAGCCGCCCCCGACGTCAGCGTCGAACGTCGCTTTCGGTTTCTTCTGTCGGCGTTCGACGTACGCCAGACGGTGGAGGGTGGAAGGAACGCCCTTTGTTCCACGTTCAAGTGGCCGTCTGCGGTGGAGGGGGAGGGGGAGGGGAGGGTGGGGAGGGGAGAGGTGGTAGATGACCTGTGGCTTGGGAGGTGAGAGAGGCGAGAGGATGGCCCGACCTGTGGTTTTGGTGGGGCAGGTTCGGTACTATGGGTCCAACTAATGCTTGAGCGACGAGTCTCTCTCTCTCTCTCTCTCTCTCTCTCTCTCTCTCTCTCTCTCTCTCTCTCTCTCTCTCTCTCTCTCTCTCTCTCTCTCTCTCTCTCTCTCTCTCTCTCTCGCGTTCTCTCTTCCCCTCCCTCCCACCTTCCATCAGATTACATCCCGATTATGCACCGTCATATCTTGTCTGAATGCATGTCTGTTCTTTCTGTTATGGTCCATGATGGGATGATAATGTTTTTATCTGACGCATTTTTATGCTCCTCAACGCTTCATGCTCGCTTCTACATGACAGCAGTGATTGTTGGACGAAGCGATTGTTGTATGTCGTATGTCCGTTGTCCTTACTGTGCAGTGCGTTACTGCTCGGGACGGTATTGGGAGGTCATGTCGCCGAATGTGGCGCACGCACGACAGACACGCCGCGCGGTGCGTCACGTCTGTCGCAGCGCTGGGGAAAGTGGCGCAGGGCTGGCGGGTGTGCCGTGTTCGCTGTCTGCGTCAAGTTTGCTGTCTGTGCCGTATGTGCGGAAGGGGGGGGGGGGGCGAGGGGGAGGGCGTTGTGCCGGGGGAGGCGATATCCTGAAGAGAAGGAGGGCGAAATCACGTTGTCTTATTGTTTTATCCTGTTTTATTTGTTATCTTTTTGCAACAATCGTCATACTGTAGCGTTATTTCTGTAGTGCGAACTGCATGACCATCAATTGATAATGTCGTTGCAACCTACATTTCTCACCACTCATCTAGTTTAGTTACCACAGCGCTACCTCATGACCTGACCGCTTGTTCTCCGCCTTTCTCAGATGGGCGAGCGTCGCGGCATGAAGGCGCTGGAGCTGTGGTGCCGACGCATCACCAAGGGCTACCCGGGCGTCAGGATCACCAACATGACCACGAGCTGGAGGAACGGGCTCGGCTTCTGCGCCATCATACACCACTTCAGACCCGATCTGATGTGAGTATAGGGCGCGGAGAGGGAGGGAAGGGTGATAAAGATGAGAGAAGAAGGTGGGGCCAATAATGCGTTTTTTCACTTGATTCTAGTTTGTATTGAGTAGCTTGTCGATTGAAGCTCCCACTCTCGACCAGTATTTAAAGCGAAATACCGGAAGATCATATTTGTCGCTTTGATGCGTTGTGAATGGGTCGGTGTTTGGTGTAGGTATGTGGGCAAAGTTTGAACACAAAACAGCGTGGTTTATCGCGAATAGGCCGGATAAGTCTCGTTTGCCCGGTAAAACGACCACTTCCCTTTTTGATGCTTTATCGCTTGTGTAGCTTTGTCGCTACACAGTCCCTTTAAAAGAAACACTATGTCGCGTATCCTCTTGTCATTGATCAGTGTGTTGAACTGTTGCTATGAAAGGCTTCGCCATGGCCGCAGGCTGAAAGCGATACAGATTGGCTCAATAGGAACAACTGAGATACGCCCGTGGACGTTGACTGGCATCCATGCCGCGTTCTTTTTATTCCATTGAATATCATTGTACTGATCAAAAACATCGACTGTAATACACTGCTCGCTGCATGTGCTATCTGCCTAATATCGCTGCATCTGCCGTGCCTTCCATTATTTACATTTCATTAACAACCGCTTTCGTATGCTTACACCCAGCATTGGTATAGTGCATCTCTTGTAAGTCTCAACTATCATCTTTTCTCCCTGCTTCTTCGCTCCACCGGTGCGCCGCTCTCTGCCGCACTGCGCCGTACCTCGCCGCTTACGGTAACCACCACAGTGACCGTAATGTGGCGCGCGCCATTAGTGTCCCGTGTGCGCCAACATCGCCCTGTGCAACGAGTATCATTATAGGAACCGTTAGACGGCGGGCGGTGAACGGGAGTGAGCACTAGCAGAGTGGCGGTGGGAACGGAGAGAGGGAGGGAGAGAGAGAGAGAGAGAGAGAGAGAGAGAGAGAGAGAGGGGGGGAAGAGGTGGAAATAGAGGGAGAGGGAGATGAAAATACAGGGAAAGGAATAGGGACAAAGAAGTTGGACTAGAGGAAGAGCCAACTGCGCAACGAATCGTTGCATTTGTATTTAACTCGTCGGAACTGTCAGCTGACTAATATCAGTGCTCAGAAATAGGTGCCTTTATTTGATGTTTACTCTTTTGTGATGAAGGAAAACACCCGACTTCAGGCTACTTGCTACGCAATCGAATTTTACTGGTCTCCCAGTGCTTTGAGTTGGCTGTAATTAGCTTCCCCTGAGTTTATGGTTGTGGGAAATGCGTAGTAAGTGTTTGAAATCGTGTATTGTGTTTATGTCTTACAACCATTGGGATCCGATGTTTTCAGTTGCAACTGTTCATTGTCATCATTTACACGACGTGACGTCTGATCAGGCATTGCTTTCCTTTTTACAATTATCCCCTTAGAACAGTCGTTTCCTCTGATATTCCAGTGAAGAGGAAAAAGTTCCTTGTTTATGTGCTAATCACATCAACGGAACTACGGATCTGAGGATAAAATGGTTTCCTTTTCTTATTGATTTATGATTGCAAATGGTTCAGGGTGAACTATGTTTCTTTATTCGCTAACCTTCAATTTTTATTTGAAATTTGCTTCCACTCATTTTCCCTCACACATTTTTTCGATTTTTTCGACATTTTTCCAAATGACAAGAGAAAAACTCATCTCCAACTGACCCCCTCTGTCTGCTCTCTCTCCCCCAGTGATTTCGACTCGCTCCGACCGGAGGATGTCTACAAGAACAACGCCCTGGCGTTCGAGACAGCCGAGACATCGCTGAGCGTGCCGGCTCTGCTGGATCCGCAGGATATGGTCGACTACGAGGTGCCCGACCGGCTGTCCATCCTCACCTACGTGTCACAGTTCTACCAGGCCTTCGTCGGCCAACAGGGTAGGTACAGAAGGGAGGATAGGGGCAGGGCTGAAGGAAATGTTGCATGTTGCAAAATGGGAAAGTTAACTGGGAGGGGGTAGTTAAGTGGGAAATGATATTGAAAGATGGAGAAGAGGGTAGTTCTTAGAGGGATGGGACGAGCAATTTTGAAACATTGGAAATGGGATGATGGTGGGAGGGATGATGAATTGAGATTTGGCAGAAGCAAAGGGAATACGAAGGACGGCCGTTCAGTTGCTAGAGTGATAGGTCTATGTGGCTCTCCGAGGTCCATCTGATGAATATGTCTGTTTTGTAGCTGATTGATTTGAATGGGTGATAGTGAATGTCAGACAGTGATAGTCCTGATGCGAAGTGGACTTTAAATGAAGTGCCGCTGGGCCCGTACCAGTTGCTTCGTCACTTTAGTACTAGGTGGAGAAAGCACCCATTGCACTGCACTTCAACTCCCGTCATAACTTCTAATCAGCGAACAACAGGCGATAAACAGGCGATAGTTTCTCATCGTGACTTTATCTCACTCTGTAGTACCCCGCTGTTAACCCGCACCCGACAAGTGTGCATTGATACGAACCTACACGGCTGTGAAGTGAAAGCGATCCGCGCTGCTCTGACATGGATATTAGCGCCAGGACGTAATTATTGACTACTTGACGCCAAGAGAAAGCGGGTACTACCCTGGGGCGGTTTGCGAGCGTGTGTGGTTGTGATGATTGGAGTACGTGTAAGGATGATGAGGATGATAGGGTATGATGATGTGTTGACAAGTGGGGCTGTGGGAGGGGTTTGAAAGGTGGGAGGTGTGTATGCGTTGTTGACTTCTCTAGGGCTGTTGGTATGATGCTGTTGGTGCAAATGAGATCTTCTTGGGTGTGGTTAATAGTCATACATCGTTGTGTGATCTGTGAGTTATGCATCGCCTCGAAGTTACATTGGCCAACTTGCTCTCTTTCCATCAATTCTACTTGCCACCATCTCGTCAATAACCAGGTGCGTCCTGACTTATTACTGTAAAGGTGTGCTCACACCCTCCCCCTCTTCCCATCTCTTCCCTCCCCTCCCCTCTTCACTCCCCCCTCTATACCAACCCCTCCCCATTGTTTGTCACTACCCCCATCCGGTCACACGCTCCCCTCCAGCACACACGGCCGATGTGAAACACTGTCTGTCTGAGGCTGACCGTCTCACACACACATCAACGGTAAGGCGCGGCGACTTACATACGAAATCGGTGTCACGGAGGCACTGAGAAGATAGTGACACAGATACGTTGTTAATGACAGGTGTCATGGCGGTTAGAGATGTGGTATTTTCGTTGTGTATCAGTTCTTAGTTGGAAGTGTTTGGGCTAGTATGCGTGAGTTTTCAGCCTCATTATTTTATTTACGTAGGGTGATCAGATGCGCTTCGGAAGATTATCATTCGGTCAGTGATATTCGTATCATGTCATGAATGACACCTAGTCTATCTTTCGGTAAGGTGGTCAGGTATGTCACTGCTACAAGTTTGATCCAGGCTTAAGTTAATGTATAAGCTTAAAGTTCCTTCAGGAAACGTAAATATAGCAGAATCAATATCCTCAGCGTTCCGTTTATCGCGGCATTTCCACCCACTCTATGTCAGTGTGTCATGTGTGTGGTGCGTGTGTATTCAGTGGTGCGTGCGACCGACTTAGCTATCGGAAGCCGCGAGTGCGTGTATTTGGGTACCGGAATGTTTGGACAATGTAAGGTGCGTGTACGCACGATGTGTTAGTCCTGTTTCCGACCCGCCGTCGTGATCTAGGACATAGGTAATTGCGTTTCTCTGTGAGTCACTGTACATATTGTAGGACATGAGATTGGTAATTGATTCGGCTCTAATTTCTACGTATATTTAATGTCCTGGTTTATGCGTGTGGTGGGTAATTGTCTGGGAATGAAAATAAGGCGTGTTATAGGTTATGTGGGATCACCCTCAGTAGAAAGGTTGTTTGTTTGTTTCTGCATTGTGCCAGTGTCGTCTGTGTTTTCATTCAGCTGTGAAATGAGGTCGTTCCTTATGTTTCGTTTGTGTTGGCCGCCGCTCTTGGCACAGATGAGTCGTTAAGCCACTTTTCTATTGTTTCATGGATCTATTGAGGGCGTTGAGTGTCGCTACGCACGAAACAATAATGCTACTTGGATGCCCTCTGGATGCATTTTTACCCCTCTGCTTCAACTTAAGTCCAGCGCTTACTTGATCCATTACTCAAGAATACCTATCTTAATTGGTCCATAAGCAAGCAATGTGCCGAAAGTGCCACTTGAAATCAACACCGTTGAGTCAAAACAAATCGAGTATTGAATACAGATACGCAGGTCCTTTTCGCTTTGTCTGACGTTTCGCTCGTGCCTGTCCAATTCCAGGCGTCCCGCGCGCGGAGAAGGACGTCAACCCCCAGCCGTCGCCGGAGCCGACGACGCCCTCGGAGAAGGTAGGCAGGCCCTGCGAGTAGTGGGTGCTCGTCTGGGGTGCTGTGGAGAGCGGGTTGCATTGCACGCCTATTTCACGCCATGGCACCGTCTGCACGCTTTGGCACGCGCCACGGGTGTGGTGTGAGGGTGGTGCAGAGTGAGTTGTGGAGTGAGATGGCGACAAGTTTTTAACAATGCTTATTGTTTTTGTTGGTTTGATTGTGTGCTATCACTTAAAAAGTACTTGCTCTAAACTGAGAGAACAGCTTTTAGCCTCTTGATATTTATAGATTTGTTTTGATTTAACTTTCTTGGCATTGTATGTTTTCAATAAGTGATGAGCTTTGGACAATTTTTTTAAGACAACGCTGATTTTTTAACGGGCTCCATCAATTTCTTATCGGCTTGTCAAGCTATATTGCAACACTTTCGTTAGTTCACTCAACAGATCGCTGCACCGCCCTCACGAAAGGTTTGACGCTTGCTTTACAACTAACCCTTTTCACCGCTGCCTGACCTTAGCCCTTTCGCTGCCATTTTAAATGCATGCCACCGCCGTATCACGTCCCAAATAAAGCAAACTAGCTGCACCTGCCGCCCTAACCGACCGAAAATAAATCAAAATCACCCTTTCGTCGCGATTCACCTCTTACCACACATTTTCGTATTTCGGTGATGGTGAAAAACACAACCGAACACGGCACGGGAATGACCTGAGATGACCGTTCCGACCTGCACTTTGACCTTTGTTACACGGCGTTAGGAGGACACTGGTGAAATTGTTACGCATGATTAATAACGAAAGCATAATATAAATTTTGATATGTCGTCCTAAAAAAGACAGCAAATCTGGCTCGTTCCGCACCTTGCAATATAAATATCACATTCAATGCCTATATTTTTACTTAGGTCTTTCGCACGTGTTTGTTTACATGTGATGAGATTCAGCTGCAAAATGTTGGATAGTTGTGCACGCATACTCGTCACATTTTCACACAATGAAGGGGTGGTTGTGTATCTAAATCTGGTGGCTTGTGTGGGTTGCCTCGTCACTCGTCAGTCTATTGCTGGTTGTTGGTGAAAGGAGCTTTATGTTGAGCTTTGGAAGTTGTTCAGGCTTTGGTTGACGGATATTTTGTTTCGGGCTTCAAAAGTTTGTGATTCGTTTTTGGCTGGGACGCATTCCAGTCGAGCCGGGGAGTCTAAAGGAGCTGATTGGGTGTGAGGTCATCTATAGATCGTCATGACAGTGGTGACGTCATGTGTTGTCGTAGACAAGCTGGCATCGTTTGACATGGCCCGGCATCGCTCTCCGAGTATCATCTGTATTTCGGACTGTCGGATAGATCACTGGTTGGGTGTATTGTAAGTTATTGTTATTGTAAGTTAAACACGTGTTATTTCACTGCGATAAGCTGCTCGAACGCACGTGCCAACAAACACATGCCAACTGTAGGCCGCTGACAGAAACACGTGGTGCCTTTACGTGTCAGCACGTGCCGACCAGACACGTGATATGTTTACCTTGGGTCAGGTGGGTAGTATGGACTATGGGGTGAACTGAGGTCTGCACTCTGCAGTCTGCAGCCATTTGATACGGCAACTTCTGATGTAATGGGGATCTGCGTCAACTACTGAAGAAATTGTGGGTAAGGATTTCCAATTTCGTGAAATTTTGCGTCTTCGGCCAGTTTTTTTTTTTCGAGTTGTATCTCCTTCGTAAGGACGAGCTGCCTCTCCTACTAGTCAACTGTTAATTTGCCTCTCCCTCTTTCTTTCCTCCTTTCTTTTCTTCCCTCCTCTCCTCGTCTCTCTCTCTCTCTCTCTCTCTCTCTCTCTCTCTCTCTCTCTCTCTCTCTCTCTCTCTCTCTCTCTCTCTCTCTCTCTCTCTCTCTCTCTCTCTCTCTCTCTCTCTCTCTCTCTCTCTCTCTCTCTCTCTCTCTCTCTCTCTCTCTCTCTCTCTCTCTCTCTCTCTCTCTCTCTCTCTCTCTCTCTCTCTCTCTCTCTCTCTCTCTCCCCGCCGTGTCGTCATCGACACCTGTGTCACCATGTTGACACAACGCCACGCGTCTCACACGGTACGTGTCACATTGCGCCCTCCCGCTGGAGCCGCTGCCAGCACCGACCCCTCCCCCTCCTGCACCCCTCGGGGTCGGTGCCAGGTCAGGAATAGGAGGCCCTGAGGCACAGCTGGTGGGTCATCGTGGTCGTTCAGTCGGTGGTGTGACGGCCACTGGTACTGGTGCTGGTGTGGAGGGTAGTGAGTTGGTGCGGAGTGGTGATCGCGGTTAGTTGAAGTTTTGGTGGAAGTATTAGTCTTGTGGCTTCAGTGTTAGGATTTGTGGAAAATCTGACTAGGATGGCAAGTCTGCCGTTGCCGCCTCGCGCTCCGCCAAGAAGACGTCGGAAACCCTGTCTGCCTGTGACAGAGGAAGTCACTGTCGAGGTAATTAGTGCTGAATGCTTGTGTGGAAGCGTTGGTCGGTGGATTGCTTGTCTTGCTCTTCGAGTGAAGATATACGCCTCTTTTGTGTCCTCATGACTTGTTTCGGCTAACGCCTCTGATACTCTCCCGAAAGATAGCATTTTCAACCCGGACATTTTCCTTTTCCGTCCACCTCACACGCAGCTGTGATGTTACAGCTGATGTTATCATGCTTGTTTGTCCAAGTCATTCCTCCAAACACCTGACGGTCCACCCTCCTGTCGCGATGACAGATTGGAAACTCGGGTTTGATTAGAAGAGTTGGCTGGAAACCAGAGGTTTGACGGACGAATCTGGAGCAGCGTGACGGGCAGAAGTTGGGCAGAAGGGTGGAATAGTAGCGAAACGCTAAAAACGTCAGGTGGAAAAGAGACAAGAGGTTGTAGACAATAGCGATGAGCTGGACAAAAAAGTGATTTCATGCTTTCGATGACGTGGTGGATGTTCAGCTCCTGAAGTTTGCTTGCCTTCGTTTCCAAATAGGATTTCCTCGTGGCTCGAAGTCGTTTTCTTTCCATTTTAAATTGACAATTTAAATTGATCCAGGTGCTACAATTCCGAGAATATTCCCAACATCGAATCTTTCTCGATACCACACCAATATCAAACCTTCTTCAATCACCTCTTCGAACCCTTGACAGGAAAACGCCTGGCAGACGGCAGTCTCACCTTCCCACAGTATTGCAGTGTCGATAATGTAACGCCACCTCCACTCCCCGTATCTGCACGGTCGTCCCACTCAGCAATTTCCTGTGCAGATAGCGCCCGCCGCACCTCAGCGAACCGGTTGTGACGCAATCTCCTGCGGGCGGAGGGCGGTGGCTTGGCGGCGGTCCGTGTACCCTGACCTCGTGACCTCTGAGATCACGGGGAGGGTGGCTCGGAAGCTTTCGCTCTCGGAGGATGAGAGAGGGAGTGAGATTTTGGTGGTTTCAGGTGTGAAAGGTGGCAATTGAGAATCCGAGGCTGTACTTTGTCCTTAGATCTTCTGCACAAGTCACATTGGTGTTTGCAAGTGATCTGCAATGATTAGAAGAAAGAAATGCTTAGAATTCCGATGATAATTGCCAGTGTTCACTGGGTTGTTTCGTCGTAGCTTTGAGACTCAGTTGTTGTAACTTCGTCTGAGTCTATTTAATGCTCCTCATAACGTATTAGGTACACGGTTGGACGATTCGATTCCACGAATCTCTCAAGCTGTCTCTAAGTAAAGAAGACAAGCTTCAGAAGAACAGCGCCCATCCGAGTTTGCCATTTGTTGAGGCACTTAATTTGTTTGGGTTATTTAAATAATTAAATGAATGAAATAAGCGAAACATCAGTCATCCAGTCGGCGCTGCTCTAAACTAGCTGAAAACACTTTGGAAGAACGTTAAGAACGTACAGGGGTATTTAGACCCCTGTGGGGTAAAATGTTATGCCACCGTTTTTCAGAACCCCCATGGTTCTTCACGTAGACGGCTGTGCATTCTCATCAAAAGAATCCACACGATTCTTCCAAAGACTCTTATGAGGTTTAGGGTTTATAATAAGAGCGTTCTTACTTCTTAGCACCTAGATAAGAACCCCAAGGGTCTGTGAAGAAGTCCCTGAGGTTTATAGGGAAACCACCCTGTGTTCTGAATATCGGTTGTAGAACCCTTTCAGTTCTATTGCAATACCGCAAAATCCCCGTTCATTCGTCTATTGAACCTCCCATGCATGGCTATCGACCTGCGCCGTCACATCTGCTGCGCAAACACAGTACTTGATACACCTTAAAATGTATTACCTTCCTCTTTACTCTGAGCAATCAGCCTGCAAGTCTCCAGTCAGGAACAACCAGCCCGCAACCAGCCCATGCGATCAGCCCGCAACCAGCCCGCATTCAGCCTGCGATCAGCCCGCAATCAGCCTGCAGGAACGCTTTCCATTCGGCCGTGTCACTTGCCTTACACATCCAAGCCAAAGAACTCCAGAGCCAAATATGAACACATTTTTAGCTTTAGCAAGTGGATGTTTTCCCAAACACAGTATGTTTGCGCTATCGCCCATGTCAGCAGCCGGGTGGCGATATCGCATTCTCCCAAATCACATACAGTTTCTCCTTCCACCACCAGCTTCAAGCCAGCGTTTTCGACGATGTCGACGTCTCCGCGCGGCGCGCGCCAGGACGCTCTCCTCAGACTCCAGGGCCTCAATCAGAGCGGAGATGGCCTCGTCCCCTAGAATGAAGAGTCGGGCGGATGCGTTATTCAACAGGCAGGGAGTAAAGAAACTTAGATTGACTTCAGAGACCATGAGCCTACTCCAAAAATAAAATACTGCACTTGACCTATAAAGTGCAGCATAGATAAAATATTGCACTAATCAGCACGAACATATGTTTATTAAAATCAGCCAAATTTATACCTAAATCAATTGACCCCAAAATGGCAAGCTGATTCTATTCCTGGTTTATCTTCATTTGGAAGATTTGTCTAAATACCACATGCATAATTTAAGCTATGGGGCATTTATACAACATATAAATACTTACTGCATTGATTGGTCTTG